AAGGTGTCCCTGAGCGCGACGGAGGGAGACGACAACGATACAATGTTTTCTTTGGAAGGGAAAAAAAAAAAAAGAAAAAAAAAGAAAGAAAAAATGTTCGTCGCCCTTCGTCGTCTTCGTCCCTTTCACGCCCACGATTATTTTAGTTGCACCTGCACAGGACTGCGCGATACGTCCAGTTTACAAAGTATAAAGGATAACACACTCGATGACTTTTATGAAAACTTTTCATACTTTTTATGAAAATTTGTTTCGTGTTCCCTTTTTTCATTTCTTTTTTTTTTTTTATAATTTTTTCGTATTTCTTTTATTTTTATTTTTTTCTTTTATTTTATTTTTATTTTCTTTTATGCACATTGGTCAAAAAGAATGTATCGAAAGCATATACGAGATTCTGGACGGGTCGATAACTGTCCTGCACAGGTATTCGTAAAAAGAGGGACTCTCTTCTCAAAAAGTTGCATCATTTGTGAAATCGCATCAACTAAGTTCCTATGTTCTTTAAATCCTTATTACAAGTACGGTAGTAATAGTAGTAGAAGTAGAAGTAGTAGCAGCAGTAGTAATAGTAGTAGTAGTAGTAGTAGTATTAATAGTAGGTTTTTCTTCACTTTTTTTTTTTATTCCTTTTTTATGTTTAAGCATTTTTTTATCCTTTAGTTTTTCTGGTTCTGATAATCTAATAGACATCTAAAAATAACACCCATTTTTTTCATTATTATTTCATATTTGTATTTTTTCATCCTTATCATCTTTTTTTTATTTTTATTTTTAGTTTATTCGATCAAGTATTACTTAAAGATTCCTTAAACGTTAGATTGAGAGCCGCGTGACACTTACAATGAGCTCAAGTGTTTCGCGATCAATTCGCTTCTTTTTTTTTTTTTTATTTTTTAGGGGAGAGGGAGAGGATGGATAAGAGGAGGGAAAAAGATTATATGTATATCCCTCGGCGATAACTCGTTCGATCTTTCATTCACTTTCGTTCACTTTAAAACATTGTAAAACGTGATTACCATTTTTTTTCTACGAACGATTTTTAATTTCACAAAATTTGGCGGGAAATTCAAACGATGGCCGAGGCGTGTGATCGAATAAAATTCGCGACACTCTTGAGCTCAAAATGAAATCGCAGCTTTTTTTTTTGTATACCGTCGTTGAATGATACATCTTACATATATTTCTAGCGGCTGGAGTAACAAGTTTTATTATTTTTCTTTTTTTTTTTCTTTTTCATTGTTTTTGTCATTCGTTTTATCAGCTCAATACTGCATCAATTCATATTGCTGCTGTTATGATCTGTGCCCAAACCGTCATCGCGATAAACCATCCATGCTAATTACGCTATATACGGTATATCCCCATAACTCTGACCTCCTATATCTCTTTCCATCCTTTCTCCACGTACACATTGTTTGTTTTCTTCCTATATGCGTTCGTGCATTGATTTTTCTCCTTACAACTCCCCCATCTCCACATTCCAATCCCTAACTATAAAATCTTCAATCTCCTCCACAATTTCTATCTCTTTTTTTCTATATATGTTCGTTTATTCTCCCCCATTTCTCTGCTTCCCATACTTTCCCCTTTCTTGTGTTAATTTTAATATCACATTTTCGTGGGAACAGACTGGCCCGATATATCTCTGAAATGTAATCTGGTGATCGTTGATTCAACCGAATTTTCCATTTTTCATTTAATTTGATAACGAGGCGTTCGACGTTTCGAAGCGATTGGATAAAGGGAAATGATAAATTTAAATTTTTGTAAATCGTCAAAAAGATAAAGAATTAACATAACGAGAAATATAATATTAAAAAATGGATGATTGAAAGATCATGCGAGCGCCACGTTTAATTATCAAAAAATTATTTATATCGATTTACGTTTTTTTTTTTGTTTTTTTTTTTTTCTTGATTTTCATCGATATTGAAAATTAAATCGTAATACATCGGGCGAGTATGTCCCTGTTTAATATATAGAATACATACATCTTTATCTCGCTACAAGGTACTACGAACCCAAAAAAACGATAAGATTCATCGTTTTTCTTTTTTATTAATTATTTTTTTTTTTTTATTTTTATCTTGTGTGGTGTGTGGCTTTTTTTCGTAAAAGATATTTTACGACACGCGAAACGTACAACAACTGGATGGAGATGACGAAACGAAAACAAAAATTCGTGAAAATATGCAATACGTTTGCGAGAAAGAAAATGGGAAAAGAGTCGAAAAAGAGAATGGAAAAAGGAAAGAATAAAAATAAAAAAAAAAAGAAAAAAAGGAATTATAAATTTCACGAAGGTGCGTTCATCGACGATCTACACGTTCAAGAGACATTCATCGTTAATCACTTAATAAAAATAATCATTTCTTACTTGTATAATGTTAATTACGTTTGTTTTATTTATTATTCACTCTCAAAAGAGAGATCCGATTTGGAAAAGATCGGTGAGAAGGTTAACGTTACTTTATGTAGACGTTTTGTGTAATTCACCTTATTTTAATTTTTTTTTTTTTTTTCTTTATATATATATATTTTTTTTACTTTTTATGTTTCTCTTTGTGGTGGTTCTTGGTGGTTCCCTCGTTCTATCCCTTTCAAACCTTTATTCTTCTTCTTTTTTTTCTTTTTCTTCTTCTCTTAGTATATTCATTTTTCCTAGCGATCTAGGAAATAATCTAATCGTTCTGTATCGAAAATTAACGGCGTTTAGTCTTAGTTTTCTTTCACTTCTCTTCATTTCTGATTTTTTAAAAATTTTTACGAGCTTTACAAACGACAGCCAATGTATTACGATATCTATCAGACTGAAAATAAAATTAAAATTACAAAAATTACAAATCATGAATTAGATATGTTTTTTCGTGTTTGGTTGCTCCAACGATATCGCAATTCGCGCGAGCATGATCATCGATAAAGCAAAGCAATTTTCGAGATTAAAATATGTCTAGAAAATTTGAAAATTTCAAAAGATATACCTATATAAATGAAAAGTTTTATTTTTCGTTATAAAACATTATAAAATGCCAACGAAAAGGAATTTACTTCAAAAAAAAAAGGCATCTTCGAAGAACTTTCCAGATTCATCTTGAATCATCGATTACGAGAATTTTTCTTTAATCACTCGAACGATCTCGAATCCCACCGTTTTATATTTGATGTGTATACACGCGCACGCGAGCGCGTGGCCGCGGATAAATCTTCTGCAACAACCAATATGATTGCGTCTCAGCTATAGAATAAGGTCGATTGTTGATACAACAACGACTATACAGGAGTATCATTTAATATTAAAAAGTCGCGGCTTGCCTTGAAAATATTTCATTCGGCTTGGTCGCTTTTCTGATGGGATTCGAGACTTCGTCCTTCTTTCTTCTATTTCTAAATCATTCATTGCTTTATATATATCATAGGATAACTCTTCGAAGACATCACTCTATCCGTCATTTGACTGTCATTTGATCTATCAACATCTACATTTAATCGGCACGAATCTTTATCTTCCAATTTTCAAATTTCATTCTCTTAGAGCTACATCACTTTTATCGAAGTATCATCCAATTGTTCGTTTCGCAGGTGAAATCCAATCGCAATCACCCCGTGAAACTTTGGAACGCGTCCTCCAGATTCGGTTCGTCTTACCCTGTCCCGAGATCCTATCCCGCGAAAGGTTATTACCGCATATTATTATTTTTTTTTCCTCGTTTTTATTTTCTTACAAACTAACGCCGTTTTTAAAACCGTTTTGCGTTTTGCTTTTTTTCATTATTTTTTTCATTTTTTTTTCTTTTTATTCTTCGTTTGTTTTTAAATCAGAGATCACTCGTTACGTTTGGTAATCAGTCTATCTGGTCTGCGTAAACCTAGCCAGAAAACTCGACTCTCGAACAACTCGTTGCCTCACTATTTCGATCCGGGTTAAGGGATCAATCTCTGTGCATTGATTTCTGTCATGAGATCTAAGATCTATCAAAAAGAGACTCAAAAATTTCTTTTTCATTTACAATTTCGAAACCGAACAATTAACAATCCAGTTTCTTTGCCAGACCATTGAAAAACAATTTCTCAGATTTAGAATTTTGCCATTGCGCCAAATAAGACACGTCCATTGGCCTAATCATATTAGATTCGACGTAGCCTCTTTTTATTTCCCACCAACGTAGTTCCACTCGAGCCGCAAAGTGAAAACTTCGAGGTAGTCTCCCCTTCGAAGCGATCTTCGTTACGCGATAGTCGCTACTATCGATCGATCCCTTATTCCGAATCTCTTTGGACCCTTGTACGAGCTTATTTTCTTCCAAACTTTCTCTCCACTATAACGTTCTTTCTAATTAGCTTTCACCTTTTCCATCATTTTTCGCGCACGTTAGAAACATTGTTCCCTTCTCCCAATACCTGACAATCTTCCTTATTTTCGTTTTCGTTCTTTACCTTCGCTCTATTCCTTTGTCTTCCTTGACCCCCTAAGAAACGCCAATTCTCCTGGTTTTCTCAATGGAAATATCGTGATCGCGCAACAACAACAGGTGGTGCCGGTTCAAGCCTCGAACAACCAACGAGGGACTTACAGAAATTTGTACTCTTTGAATGCGTGTGTTGTTGTTGTTCAACGATGTTTGAACGTTTACTTATCACGTAATAAAGATTACACGAACCGCCTCCAGCATCAAGGCGACTTACTTTTTTTTTTTTCCCCTTAATTAATACAAGAATTTTTACGTTACGACTTCACGTATTTCTTTGTTTTTTACTCCATTTTTTGTTTTTTTTTGTTTTTTTTTTTTTTTTTTG